GCTGTAGGAAGGGCTGTTGTGCTGAACAACACTAAACTGGTACAGGAGCCTGTTTTCATGGTTAAATAGCAAGATCTGGATAAGTGATCCTAATTTTACCTCTATGCCACTCAATTCAGAAATGAACCATATGTCTTGAGAGGCTGGTGATGGATGGAAAGTTTGCTCAAACTTGAGTGGATTATGCAGTATGTTTTGTGATCATATTTTGCATTGTGTAACAGATTGATGAGGTGCACATGGCCCAGGGAAAGAGGACTTCATCATAGCTTTGGGCAAGCTCCTGCTTTAAGGCTGTGCCTGGAGAGGATAAGTTATGCTTCTAGAAAGTCTGATGTGATCTTCAAACAGACATTATTTTTTGCAACAGTATGGCCACCAATGAAGCATTTGAGGATGGAAAGCTTGAAGCATCCTTGGAGAATGTGGCCTCATTTTTACTCTTTAGTTGAGCAGACCTTGATTGATTTATTCTGATGAGGTCTGTGCCTTCTTTTTCTGCTTTGGGTGTCATCAAGACCTGCATTCCAGAACTGGCTTTGTCACCTACTTGCACTCAATAATCTCTCTATCTTTAAAAAGAGCGAGAGGACACCACATCAGAAGATTATCATGATGTTTAAATGAGATTATGAATGTGAAAGGGATATGTGAGCTACTAAGCATTGTATATATTGAGAGAAAACTGTTATGAAGCTAGCACTGATCTTGGAAATTCCAGTTATTTATTAGGACTGAAAGGACCAATGGATCTTTCCAATGGAATAAACAAATGGGATCAAAGTGATCATGATTGGCTTCTAGATTCTGCCAGTATCAATTTTCTTTGGTTTCCTCCAAATGCTTTTAGGTGTGTGGTTTTTCTTGACATTATCGATTACAACTCATCCTCGTTTGTGAGAGCCTCATCTGGTAGCACATTTTACATCTGAAATGTCTTCAATACCTAACATTATTGGTATATAGCCTTGCAAGGATGGCTTTTGTAACTGTGCCTTATATGTAGCCTGGAGACCTCTGAGGAGCCCCTTATTTATGCTGTTTAGCCTCCAGATGCCAGAAAGCAGAATGACGAGTGTCAGAAATTAAGGCATCTGGATGTGTGTGCCTAGGGTGCGCACATATAAACATGAGTAATGGTCCTTGCCCTCAAAAGCTTCTATTGTAATGAAAGAAAAAGATATGGAAATTGATGACTGCAATACAGAAAGACAAGTGCAATGAAAACGCACATATAAACATGAGTAATGGTCCTTGCCCTCAAAAGCTTCTATTCTAATGAAAGAAAAAGATATGGAAATTGATGACTGCAATACAGAAAGACAAGTGCAATGAAAAAAAAATTGTGTACACAGATTAGGAAATGAGAAATGACCAAAGAACTTTTCACTGAGGAGAGTGTCCTTTAGTTGGGTCTTGAGAATAATGGGTTGGAATTAGTCAGGGAGATGCACGTATCAGGCAGGGGGATGTATGTGCAGAAGCTTGTTTTAGGAAACAGCGTGTGATTTCCCATAGCTACAATACAGACTACAAAGGGTGACCTGCAGAGCTGAAGAAGTCAGTGTGGGCCAGATGAAGGAGAGCTCTGAAATCCTTAGTAAGCAAGCTGAATTTTAAGCTTCTTAGAGTTAATGGAGAGCCCCTAGAGAATTTTAAGATGGAGTATGAATTGACCAGATGGCTTTGGGAAGGGTGAATTGAGTGGATGCTCGGGGACCAGTTAGGGAACATCAGTCCAGGGAGGAAGATGAGGATCTTTCTAGAGCAACAGCATTTGTGGTTTGGAGGGATCATGTCTAATAACAAATGTTAGCATTAATCAACTGCTTATTCCAGGCTAGATCTTGTGCTGTTCCTAGGATTACATTTGATCCTTTTTATATTCCTACAAAGTAGCAACTATTATTATTCCCATTTTACTGGTGAGAAAAGCAGGGCTTAGAGAAGTTAAAT